GTCTGTTAACTGTTGACACTAGTTGTACAGTTTAGCACCATCTTCTGTCTGTTAACTGTTGACACTAGTTGTACAGTTTAGCACCATCTTCTGTCTGTTAACTGTTGACACTAGTTGTACAGTTTAGCACCATCTTCTGTCTGTTAACTGTTGACACTAGTTGTTGTACAGTTTAGCATTATCTTCTGTCTTTAAACTGTTGACACTAGTTGTTTTACAGTTTAGCATTATCTTCTGTCTGTTAACTGTTGACACTAGTTGTTGTACAATGTAGCACCATCTTCTGTCTGTTAACTGTTGACACTAGTTGTTGTACAGTTTAGCACCATCTTCTGTCTGTTAACTGTTGACACTAGTTGTTGTACAGTTTAGCACCATCTTCTGTCTGTTAACTGTTGACACTAGGTTGTTGTACAGTTTAGCACCATCTTCTGTCTGTTAACTGTTGACTAGTTGTTGTACAGTTTAGCACCATCTTTGTTGTTAACTGTTGACACTAGTTGTTGTACAGTTTAGCACCATCTTCTGTCTGTTAACTGTTGACACTAGTTGTTGTACAGTTTAGCACCATCTTCTGTCTGTTAACTGTTGACACTAGTTGTTGTACAGTTTAGCACCATCTTCTGTCTGTTAACTGTTGACACTAGTTGTTGTACAGTTTAGCACCATCTTCTGTCTGTTAACTGTTGACACTAGTTGTTGTACAGTTTAGCACCATCTTCTGTCTGTTAACTGTTGACACTAGTTGTTGTACAGTTTAGCACCATCTTCTGTCTGTTAACTGTTGACACTAGTTGTTGTACAGTTTAGCACCATCTTCTGTCTGTTAACTGTTGACACTAGTTGTTGTACAGTTTAGCACCATCTTCTGTCTGTTAACTGTTGACACTAGTTGTTGTACAGTTTAGCACCATCTTCTGTCTGTTAACTGTTGACACTAGTTGTTGTACAGTTTAGCACCATCTTCTGTCTGATAACTGTTGACACTAGTTGTTGTACAGTTTAGCCCCATCTTCTGTCTGTTAACTGTTGACACTAGTAGTTGTACAGTTTAGCACCATCTTTTGTATGTTAACTGTTGACACTAGCTGTTGTACAGTTTAGCCCCATCTTCTGTCTGTTAACTGTTGACACTAGTTGTTGTACAGTTTAGCACCATCTTCTGTCTGTTAACTGTTGAAACTAGTTGTTGTCCAGTTTAGCACCATCTTGTGTCTGTTATCTGTTGACACTAGTTGTTGTACAGTTTAGCACCATATTCTGTCTGTTAACTGTTGAAACTAGTTGTTGTACAGTTTAGCACCATCTTCTGTCTGTTAACTGTTGACACTAGTTGTTGTACAGTTTAGCACCATCTTCTGTCTGATAACTGTTGACACTAGTTGTTGTACAGTTTAGCCCCATCTTCTGTCTGTTAACTGTTGACACTAGTAGTTGTACAGTTTAGCACCATCTTTTGTATGTTAACTGTTGACACTAGCTGTTGTACAGTTTAGCCCCATCTTCTGTCTGTTAACTGTTGACACTAGTTGTTGTACAGTTTAGCACCATCTTCTGTCTGTTAACTGTTGAAACTAGTTGTTGTCCAGTTTAGCACCATCTTGTGTCTGTTATCTGTTGACACTAGTTGTTGTACAGTTTAGCACCATCTTCTGTCTGTTAACTGTTGACACTAGTTGTTGTACAATGTAGCACCATCTTCTGTCTGTTAACTGTTGACACTAGTTGTTGTACAGTTTAGCACCATCTTCTGTCTGTTAACTGTTGACACTAGTTGTTGTACAGTTTAGCACCATATTCTGTCTGTTAAATGTTGACACTAGTTGTTGTGCAGTTTAGCATCATCTTCTGTCTGTTAACTGTTGACACTAGTAGTTGTACAGTTTAGCACCATCTTCTGTCTGTTAACTGTTGACACTAGTTGTTGTACAGTTTAGCACCATATTCTGTCTGTTAACTGTTGACGCTAGTTGATGTACAGTTTAGCCCCATCTGCTGTCTGTTAACTGTTGACACTAGTAGTTGTATAGTTTAGCCCCATCTGCTGTCTGTTAACTGTTGACACTAGTAGTTGTACAGTTTAGCACCATCTTCTATCTGTTAACTGTTGACACTAGTTGTTTTACAATTTAGCACCATCTTCTGTCTGTTTACTGTTGACACTAGTTGTTGTACAGTTTAGCACCATCTTCTGTCTGTTAACTGTTGACACTAGTTGTTGTACAGTTTAGCACCATCTTCTGTCTGATAACTGTTGACACTAGTTGTTGTACAGTTTAGCACTATCTTCGGTCTGTTAACTGTTGACACTAGTTGTTGTACAGTTTAGCCCCATCTGCTGTCTGTTAACTGTTGACACTAGTAGTTGCACAGTTTAGCACCATCTTCTATCTGTTTACTGTTGACACTAGTTGTTGTACAATTTAGCACCATCTTCTGTCTGTTTACTGTTGACACTAGTTGTTGTACAGTTTAGCACCATCTTCTGTCTGATAACTGTTGACACTAGTTGTTGTACAGTTTAGCCCCATCTTCTGTCTGTTAACTGTTGACACTTGTAGTTGTACAGTTTAGCACCATCTTTTGTATGTTAACTGTTGACACTAGCTGTTGTACAGTTTAGCCCCATCTTCTGTCTGTTTACTGTTGACACTAGTTGTTGTACAGTTTAGCACCATCTTCTGTCTGTTAACTGTTGACACTAGTTGTTGTACAGTTTAGCACCATCTTCTGTCTGATAACTGTTGACACTAGTTGTTGTACAGTTTAGCACTATCTTCTGTCTGTTAACTGTTGACACTAGTTGTTGTACAGTTTAGCCCCATCTGCTGTCTGTTAACTGTTGACACTAGTAGTTGCACAGTTTAGCACCATCTTCTATCTGTTTACTGTTGACACTAGTTGTTGTACAATTTAGCACCATCTTCTGTCTGTTTACTGTTGACACTAGTTGTTGTACAGTTTAGCACCATCTTCTGTCTGTTAACTGTTGACACTAGTTGTTGTACAGTTTAGCACCATCTTCTGTCTGATAACTGTTGAAGTTGTTGTACAGTTTAGCACTATCTTCTGTCTGTTAACTGTTGACACTAGTTGTTGTACAGTTTTACACCATCTTCTGTCTGTTAACTGTTGACACTAGTTGTACAGTTTAGCACTATCTTCTGTCTGTTAACTGTTGACACTAGTTGTTGTACAGTTTAGCACCATCTTCTGTCTGTTAACTGTTGACACTAGTTGTTGTACAGTTTAGCACCATATTCTGTCTGTTAACTGTTGACACTTGTTGTACAGTTTAGCACCATCTGCTGTCTTTTAACTGTTGACACTAGAAGTTGTCCAGACAGTTCTCTTATTTCCTCACCACTTGTGAATTCACGTCGCCCAGAATAAAAGAGCTAGATTTTGTGCAGATTAGTAGTACTTGTTTTAATTGTTATGACATTTTAAAAAGTCGGGGTGGGGTGGGGGGGGGAGAGGAGGAGGATTACAAGACCATATAATCAGACCAAGCTCATCAACGTCAGATATAATATTGAAATAAAAACAACTAAAACTGAAGATATGTAGGTCAGTTGAGGTTAACTCAACACTTATAGAGTTGACTAGTACTTCTCAGAAGCAAACTCAATAGTTTAAATATCTAGAAAGTTTATATTCTCAGAGGTCACTGAATAGATTAGGAATCAGAAACAAGATGAAAGCAAGCAAGCACACACACACATACACACACACACAAGTGTATACCAAATGACGCCCTTATTTAGACATTCAAACATAAGACCTACAACAAATCACTATATAATAAACAGTTGATTTATACAAATACTATGCTTTTAGTGCCTAACTAGGACATTATCAAAAGCTCTTTTCTTCTTCTTCTTCTTCTTCTTCTTCTCTTCTACCGTGTACCTCATCGAAGTGTCAGGGGGACAGGGAGAGATATTACATTCGTTGATGAGCTCTTTTAAGAGCACCATTAAGACTGATGTTCATTTCTGTAGGGCTGTTCTTAATGCCATCACTCCATATTTTCTGAGGTCTTCCACTCGCTCTATAACCGTTGTAACGTTTTAGTGTGGCTGGCTGTGGTAGATAGTACCAGGGCATTCTTGTTAGGTGCCCAAACCACTTCATTTGTTGTTCTTTGATCACCTGTAAGACTGGCTTTATTCCTTGCATTCGTCTGATTTCGTGATTTCGTATTCTGTCTTTCCTTGAAACTTCTGCAGCTTTTCTAAGGCATTTCATCTCTGTTGTCAAAAGGTTACGTTTATTGGAGGATGTAAGTGCCACGTTTGGCATTGATAGTATAGTGTTGGTAAAAAAAATAGTTCTGATAAGATTCACTTTAATACTCCAAGGTATCTGCTTGTGTGTTAACAGTGGAGGTATTGCCCATTACTCAGCTTTGGCACATCTCGAGCTAATTTCTCTGTCCAGTTTTCCGTCGGATGTGATAATTGCTCCCAAATACTTAAATTCCTCTGTTTGTCTTAAGGTGTTGTTTTTAATTTATTTCTAAATTATCTTTCTGTCTTCCCATCACAATTGTCTTTGTCTTCGTAGTGTTTATTTTCATATCAAAAGCTCACATATGTAAAATTAAGGCATACGGTTATGAGGTGCCTGAAGAAAGCACTAACCAAACCCTTCAAGGTCAAGTGAACATTTATTCTATCAGACAAACTGTGTGATAAAACACCTTGTATAGGATAAATTGGGAAGAAGGTAATCAAATAGTTCCGTTTACTCGTTCGAATGCAGCCACAAGAGCTAAAAGAACTGGACCTTACCTAAAAGCATACGATGTCAGAACAAGAGGGCGTCAAATGAGAATATGGACTGATGGCATTAGAGGTACACTTCATTCACACGGAAAAGGAATGGTCAATGCCAACTAACAAACACTGGACTGCAACCTATTCCTCCACAAGAAGCAGGACAGTAAAATGGAAATAGGCTGTTGTCAATGATGATGAAATTCACTATATACATACATCATCACGCCACACCCGTAGCAAAACTGGCATTCTGAATTGTCCTGTCTTGTATTCCTGTGACCCGTCATTCCATGAGGTCACGTCAGTCTAATGTGGAAATGACAATTTGAAAACATTAGTTACGGATATGAAACATGTGAAATGTGAAACGTAATTTCCCACTATAAAAATTACGCACTTTTCTCTCTGTAAATAGGAGCATGCTTTTTTCTCTCTTTCAGTAAAAATGTCTACTTCTCTCTGACCATAGTATGAGCCATTTTGTTTCTTTCTGACAACGTATAAGATACTTGCTTTTCTCCCTTAAAAAGTATCAAAAGTATAATTCTCTCCCAAAATAAAGACAAATTATGCAATTCTCTTCCAGGTAACAGTTAATCATATATTTCTTTTTCATTTGACTATGGAAGATATACTAATCTCCTAGCCAGCGACTGAACACATATTTCACTTCAAACTAACAAGGAAACATATATTTATCGTTAAACTAGCCCAAAAGTATACCACTAGTCACAATTAAGAGGAAACAATTAACAAGAAAAGCATGAAACATGTTTTTATCTTTCAACTAATATTATCTGTCTAAATAGTCATGAAACATGTACTTCGCTTACAATTCTTCTCATGCAACTAAGAATAAAACATTTACTTCTTTAACTACAAAACACCACCAGCAAACAAAAAACCAACAATAGAAATTTATGCTCATCAAATTCAATAATGCGTTTTCAAGACTACTGCGTGGATTAGAAACATGAGTCTAAACCAGAGCTTTACACACTTTTAATGATGATAACATACTTTTTAGACAAATGTAATTTCACAACTTGGTAATTCAATTTATTAGCAAACCAGAGGTTAAATAAGCCCTTAAAAGAGACAGAACACATAATACATTTGTAATGTTTTACATTCGCGTGACACACCTTCACACTGCAGCCGTCACACTAATGTGCATTCACACACAACTTGGAGTGCTCTATTTAAAGTTCAAGCTAGAAAACTCTTGTCTAATCTTAAAATCATAAGCCTACACTTAACTTTTTAGAAACTGTTTTGTGGAAGAAAAGAGGACAGTGCCGTTCATAAGCAAATCATTACAAATAAGCCTTGCTAAATATTTTCTTTTATAGAGCAACGAAAGTTATTATCGTCATATTAAATGGTATACTTGGAAAAAAAAATGTTTTGCATAAACAATTTAGAAAAATAAAACTGGGCCAGCTGGTATCAACAATACAAATGAACAGCGAGCAACAAAATATTCACAGGACTGTTGTAGATTATTCTCTAGTTTACCATTAAATGTATGTATGTATGTATGTATGTATGTATGTATGTATGTATGTATGTATGTATGTATGTATGTATGTATGTATGTATGTATGTATGTATGTATGTATGTATGTATGTATGTATGTATGTATGTATGTATGTATGTATGTATGTATGTATGTATGTATGTATGTATGTATGTTGTATGTATGTATGTATGTATGTATGTATGTATGTATGTATGTATGTATGTATGTATGTATGTATGTATGTATGTATGTATGTATGTATGTATGTATGTATGTATTGTATGTATGTATGTATGTATGTATGTTGTATGTATGTATGTATGTATGTATGTATGTATGTATGTATGTATGTATGTATGTATGTATGTATGTATGTATGTATGTATGTATGTATGTATGTATGTATGTATGTATGTATGTATGTATGTATGTATGTATGTATGGTATGTATGTATGTATGTATGTATGATATGTATGTATGTATGTATGTATGTATGTATGTAGTGTATGTATGTATGTATGTATGTATGTATGTATGTATGTATGTATGTATGTATGTATGTATGTATGTATTGTATGTATGTATGTATGTATGTATGTATGTATGTATGTATGATATGTATGTATGTATGTATGTATGTATGTATGTATGTATGTATGTATGTATGTATGTATGTATGTATGTATGTATGTATGTATGTATGTATGTATGTATGTATGTATTAGTTAGTTAGTTAGTTAGTTGGGTTATCCTCATTGCACTCTGGACATGTCCATAGGTACTCAGATCCTCCCCTCAGTATGAACCCCAACGTCCGATGGCTAATAGTACCAGTTCTATGTTCATTAACAAGTCTTCTGGCGTGTCTGGTGTGCGTCTCGTTTTTTGCTGTGCCGATCTTAATTCCCAAGTCTGCCATTCTGGCGAGTGATGTGGATTCACTGCCACCAAAGTCCTCTTTCCTTCCCATTTCTCTGAGGGCATTGATAATATCAGCATGATCCATAGGCTGACCGTCGGTAGTGATAGCGGATCCAGCCAACCTGTCAGCTCTTTCATTTCCATCGACGCCTGCGTGTCCCGGAACAAAAATAAAGGTGACTCCACGCACAGTGAACTTCTGTAATGATTCAAGCCATTGTCTTTGCACTGAACCTGCTTGAACCCTCCGGATCATACTCATTCAATCACTGAGTATACACACGCGGGTGTATTTTTGTGTTTCAAGCCAGGCAAGCGCTTGCGTCACTGCCATCACCTCCATCGTCATGCTGCTGGTAGTCATGGAGAAGGCGCCGTTGGCTTCTTTGACTGTTCTGCCCGCTGAGTGTGCTGTAAATGCCCATGCGCTTCTTCTTTGGCGTATAACGGATCAGTCGTATAGATTATTGCATCTGCTTCGTCTGAATTTTCACCGATGAGAGCGTTGACCTCTGCATTAACAGCAACAGGATTCTCTTCTCTACATCGCCTGTTGAGTGTGACAATACAGGAAAATGTACAAATAAACGCCTGAGGCACAGGTTTCCATTCTGCACCAGGTATGATGTCGGTTAGGCTGCATATTTGCCTAATAACATCTTCTGCCCGACTTAGCCATGATTTCCCCCTCTTCAGTCTGTCGCCCTTTTCACTAAAAAGCGCTTGATGCAGTGGGTGTTTCTTATCAGCACATATTTTGAGATATGCCCGAGCCCTCCACATCCTGATCCTTTGGTTCATTGTTGGAAAGTCAAGTAGATACCTCATTGCTCCACAGGATGTGTCTCTTGTACATCCCAAAATAATGCGCATGGCTTCATTTTGCACCTTTTCGAGTCGTTCAATCTGGGTAGCACTGACAGTGAGGATGGCCAGAGCGTATTCAATGGGGGAAAGGACCAGATTGTAGAATAGAAGTATTAGTAGTCTTTGCTCAATATTGGAAGCAGCCATAATCCTCATTGCAGATAGACCTTTGCATGCTTTTGTTATCACATGGTCAACCTGTTCCCTGAATGACAAGCTGCGATCGAACCTCACCCTGAGAAACGTCATAACGTTGGTTCTGATCAATACATTATCACGCATGTATGTATGTATGCATGCATGCATGCATGTATGTATGTATGTATGCATGCATGTATGTATGCATGCATGTATGTATGTATGTATGTATGTATGTATGTATGTATGTATGTATGTATGTATGTATGTATGTATGTATGTATGTATGTATGTATGTATAAAAATATAGGTCTAGCCCTATATGCCTAAAGGCGTTGAAAATGGATCTTTACTTTTTTTAAAAATTAATAATCATGTCACATTGTAGTAGCTTTACGATCAACAAACAACGAACCAGCTCTAGGTTAACAGGGTCACAAAATGGACAGGCCGGTCACTGAGTGTCAATGAACTTAGTGATGATCAGATTGCATGGGACAACTTGTCACAACTTTTCGTTGCTTCAATTACTGACGTGACTTATATGCACTAAGAGAAAGAAAGTTTGCTTTTCACTTTCTTCATGTCTTTGGATAAGCACATTACTAAAAAATCAAATGTCAATCCACGCTGTATTAAAAATTAATGACAGAGTGTTACCTTTGCGAAGTACCATTCCACTGTGGAGACCTGATTCGGAAAGGCAGGTATGGTAGTTCTCGTTACCCATGTATCTGCTAGGATTCCTCTGATGTTTCTCTGTATGGATACAAAACATGGACTTGACTGCAAATTGTTCAGTTATGTCTATTATAAATAATATATCAAAGATGTACCAGTTGTTACATTCCATTTAAAATTGTGAACTATGCGTCATAAAATTACGTTCAAGGAAACCATCGCGTGATCAAAGAAAACTCGTATAATTCATTTTTTTTTTCCAAGAGAAAAAGCAGTGACATTTTTTCTGTGTAGAAAATTATGACATTTGCTGAAATCTTTCTGCCTAATAAGTTAACGCCCAACTCAAGCAGGTGAAGTTCATACTATTGCATAGACTATTCTTATTAAACTTTGTGCAGTCGATTTTTGAAGAGTTTGTTTCATGAAATTTCCGTAGGGGTTCCGGGGACCCATTGTAAGCAACAAGAATAAACATACTCCCACACCCCGACAAGCATGTCTTAGAAGTCAACTAATCAAAGGTGATTCCTTCAAAGTCAGCATACAAATAAACAAATTTGTAAAATGGATGGGCAAGCAAAACTCAAGTTGGAGAAACAAAAATACTCAGACTGCAACATAGAAGTGGACGAACCACAAAACTTTCAACTGGACTTTACAGCCGGCGAACGCTAAGAAGAAGAAGAGCTCAGCGAAAAAAAAACTGGTCTGCAATATTCCTTTGTGAAATAACATCATTGTCAGATGAATCATCCATGTGGCTCATAAGAGGCACCGACTTATCAGGTCTATCGAATTGCACAACAGATGAATCCACAGACGTCGCTGGGTTGGCAGTTTGTTCTTATGCATGGCCAAGTTTTGACAGTATTGTGGAGTCACTACGCAAATTTTTTTTTTTATTTAATTGACGGAGTTAGAGCAATAATTTAATAATGGTCATTTTGAAGGGATACATCTTATTAGTTGCATCATGGTTGTCATGGCTATAGCCGCCATCTTGAGAAAAAAAAACATATACTGGACATTCTAAAATTTCAAAAACAAACACACGTATGAAACAATAGATGATAGATTCATGACCTTTTATCCTATTTAAATGTACAGGTGTAGTTTATTTACTTTATACATGTTTTAAAATATTTTTCGTAGAATTTTAAAATGTAGGTTTATTGAAAAAGTCAAAAAAAAATTTTTGCATCATAGACAATAATAAAATTTTTAAAAACAAAAACTTTCTAAAATCTACTTTTGAAGATTGTTTAAGGAGTGTCCATACTGTATTTCCTGTTTCTAGTCTTTATATTAGCTGAGATTTTAGGATTTCACACACACAACAAACAAAATTATAGAGATGTGAGAAAACTGACTTTTAAACTTTTCTATATCTTAAAAAAGTGGGCATGGGTTGGTGCCTTTAGTACCAGCTTTTCAAAGCTAAATTGTTTACAAATGACATAAATTTCGTGTGTAATCTATTCTACGAATGCTGAGCTTTACAAAAACGATCATTGAAAAAGTGATATTTTTGTCATAAATTAGAAAAAATGCCGTGTAGTGACTCCTTATGTGCATTGTTGGTAGCTGAAAATAAACAAACTATTATGGTATATTTCACAGTTAACAAATATTTTTGTCACTGCAGTAACAATGCGTATTTGTTTAAATAATCGTTACTTTAAATGTTCTTATTTGCCCCTGTTGTGGAAGGGGTGACCAGGGGGGGGGGGGGGTGGGGGGTTAGACCTACTTTCTCCAACAAGCATGTTGTGGAAAGCGACCAGCTAGGGATGTCCCCTTTAAAGTCAGAGTGCATCTGCCTGAGATTCGTGAATCTAGTAGTTTGCATAGAAATAAACCAGGTCTATAAAACGGATATACACGAACAACTCGAGTTCTGGAACCCGACAAAAGTCCGGAAGTGGATTAAAAGACATAACTTTCCACCAGAATTTACAGCTTGAAGGCCAAGAAGGAGAAGTTTGTCTTTCTCTGACATTAGCTCTTTAAAAAAAAAAAAAAAACTTGTAAGACATAGCCTACGGTAGGCCTGCGTAGGAGGGACTCTGCTATAAGAGGATAGGTAATATAGGTTGGAAACCTCTGCACTAGAGCAATTATTACTAACAAATATTATTAATGAATATAATTTAATGATTTGCTTCGCCAAGAGGTCTATAAACTTATAGTGTATGTTCTCATTGCTGTTTTAAACATTGCTGCTCTAAATATAATGTTGGAAATATTGAAAACGCTAAACAACTTCGTTGCAGTTATGTCATAAAACTTTACATTGCATGTACTGCACTAATCACTTTCCCATCCGTGCACCACGTCAAGTTGTTTTCTGCCAATAGCACATATAAGCCACTTTTCTTATTTCTTTGCAATGTAGACATCGCCGTTTAATGGTGTTTCTTGTGTTTCCTTGCACTTATTTTTCCCAGTATCCCTCATCTCATACATTTGACAGGAGCTTGTCATTTAAGGACCACGTGGAGAGTGTTGTGACGAGATGCCAAAAAGGACTTAGTGCACTTAAGACTGTGGCTGCAATTGACATAGAGCAGAGAATGCTTTTCACACTATATCAGCACCTGATCCTGTCAGTGGTGGATTATGGCCTGGGACTGCTTACCGTCTCAAAGAGTCAGATGGACAAACTAGAGCGCATACAGAACGCGGCTATGCAGGGCATTCTGGGTTGCACCAGAGACACCCAAGTGATGTGTATGCTTTACATCCTTGGTTTGCCGACGGTTGCAGGTAGGCACAAGGTGCTGCAGGCGAAGTCATATCTCAGGGTAGCTGCAGACACAGACCACCCTCTGCATGAAGCTTTGGGTGCAGTCAAGGGTCAGCGGCTGATAAGAGGGAGGTCATGGATGGCTCAGGCAGAAGACACTTTCACAGACATTTTTGCATCCTTGAGAACATAAGGCGAGGAGAGTAGTGGGACAAAGTGCAGTCAGACTTGTGTAGAGTCATAATCACGCTGAGCCGGGAATGCAGAGACTGGCCAGCAGGTGCCACAGAGGTGGAAATTCAGCAATTAAATCAAGATAATGCTCGCTCAGAGGATTTGATCATTTACACAGACGGTTCAGTGTCAAGAGGCAAAAGAAGTGCTTGGGGCTTCTTAGCAAGAGTTAATGGTCGACGTTTGATGCAGGAGAGCCTAGCATATGATTCCACAACATCCAGCTTAAAAATGGAGGTGGAGGCGGTCACTGCAGCTGTCCGCTGGCTAGAGAACACGCACACACACACACATACACACACACACACCGTGATTGTAACTGATTCAGAAAGCATGCTGAGGAAGATCAGAACAGGTATGCTTCGTGCAGAGTGGCATGCTTCGCTGCGAAGGACACGAGTGAGGAGTATTGTCTGGATTTTTTCACCGAGTCACGCCGGTGTGTTCGGAAATGAACAGGCGGACAGACTGGCTGGCTCTGCACAACTTGGTGGAATACTGCTACATGATAGGGCAGACGTGGTTAGTGCCTTGTGGGAGAGCGTGTACAATTCGGTGGAGCAGATGGATCACCACAGTCTGGTGAGATTGATGCAGTTGGGGGTGACGAGAGGTTCCGGCAGAAGCTCGAGGCTCAGAGGAAAGGCAAGTCGGACGTTTAATCAGAAAGCTACTGGCACCATTAGTATCGGAACTTTTCGCTGGCTGCTGAAGATGGGGACGGAGCGCTTATGGGAATGCCCCGAGTGCTGTGATGTCGGTTCTTGAATCAAATAAAATCCAAACCTCGTCATATTGTCTTAATAGAAATAATTTGCTGTATTATTTTACAATTTAGTATCATTAGACTAAAACAGGTGTGTTACTATAGAAAGCGTGCATAAGTTCTTTTCAACTTCCTTTCACCACTCAGTTGAGCATATATTAACCTCAAACAACTCATGGGAAATCTTCGGTAACCTTGTTCACATCAGCTAGATTCTGCAGATAAAATATTCATGCCGGATAATGTAGCACTTCTCCGTAGTCCCTGGGCATACATGTCTTATGTTACTTACTATTCATTGCTTCCCTTATGTGCCTCAGTAACACCTTTAGTAAACGATCTCACTACACAGAACCTGTTATGTCTACTGAAGCATATTCTTACCTCACCAAGATACTCATACTCGGTGCTATCCGCAAAGAAAAGCTGTTGGGGGGTCACATCCGTAACCTTGCCCTGTGGATTGATGTAGTCGACAGGCAAGGGATCTGCCGCCGTAATGTTCTGTATAGCACACCACTGCTCCACATTCTCTATTGTGTAAGAGAGACCTGGAAACATGGATATAGCAAAGGTTCATTTCAACATAACACAAATCTAAGCTACCTATATAACTCAGCTGTTGAGAATAAATATAAATGTGGAACTAGCTGGCTTTACATAGGTTGTCAATTGTTGAATTTCCTGATCTGTTATTAGTCAGGGTTTTGTTTAGAAATTGTAGCGATGAGACGTCACTGGCAAAGTACTACAGTAAAATGAAAAATATACGCACAGACCAGAATTTCACGCTAGTGTTCAGAAAGCCGACTCCAACATTCAAATCTTCCTCTATTTCTGTAGGAGAACAATTGTGACTTGTGGCGGAGTCATTTATATATTTACATTCGCTTTAACAGAGTACTGTAAACGGATTCATGTCATATAGGCAATTAACGACATGTGAAAATCATTCCTGGTGTGCGTTTCCATTATTGTAAGTTGAACCACCATTGTTGTGTTAATCTCTTGATTAATAATGTCCCTAGTTTTCTCATTTCTTATGCAGCTTTCATGGCTTATGGTTCATGTTTGTGTGTGTGTGTGTGTGTGTGTGTGTGTGTGTGTGTGTGTGTGTGTGTGTGTGTGTGTGTGTGTGTGTGTGTGTGTGATGAAAACTTTGGTCAAAACGGATTCTGTGCGTCTTTTCACTTTATTTCTGTGAACTTCCTATTCATAATTTGTGTTTTCTTAATGTACTTCTTAAAACAGACGTAGAACATCTTTAAAACGTAATCCTTGGATATGAATGCAATAGATAACTATCGGCAATACATGTCATAGAGTGCATACTGTGTAAAGGGGTTCTTAGAAAGGAAGGGTTGAAAGGGAAACAACATCTGACTTATTTCATGGGATTACAGTCTCATTCAATGAACAGATTAAAACGTGTTGAATAGTTTTAATTATAACATGTTTGAATGGGAAAAATTCTTATTCATTTCTCTACTCCTGGAATGTCTCGCAACGTCAGGACAGGAAGAAATCTCTGGAACGGGAACTTCTGTTCGCTTCGTATATCGTACTTTTCAGTGTCCCTGATATTTATGCGACGCATGTTTTGCGTGGTCGACCACTGCATCTGTTACAGCTGTAACTGTTTAACATTGCTCTCTGTGGCGCCTAGTCTGATGCTAATCTTGTTACATGGCCAAACCATTTGAAACAAATAGGAAAGCTTAAACTATCTTTAAATGATCTCGAATATCGTTGAATATAGGACTAAGACTGTCTTCGAGTACCGGATTGGACTATCTTCTACTAGAGAAGTTAAAACCTCTTTTGATCTAAGGATGGAAACCTATCTAAATTTTGGAAATTTAGTCAGTTGTTTCAGCTAGATTCGTTGTGTTTTGCACCTCTTTGGTCACACACATAGGTCTTGAATGTAGATTGCCTTTCTTGATCAAGAGACTTTCGATTTAAGTGTTGCCTGTTCACGATATAGGTTCAAGCACTCGTAGGGCTAGACCAAGCTCTCAAGAAGGAACGGCTGGTGTGCTCCACTACCTGTCAGATCTGACATCTACAACCATGGATCTCTCTGATACTGGTGCTATCGGAATTGGAACTCTGGGCTTGCTGCTGCAGATAGGGATGAAGCGCTTAATGAGTGTTCCGAGTGCTGTGACGTTGATTATTAATTCAACATTCAACAACATAATTTGAATACAAGGAATCGAATTTCAAATCTTTGAAAAAAAATTTTTAACATTTTTTGAAGAAAGAATTCGAATTTCATATATTTTTAACAACTTCTTTAAACTGAGGTGTTACCGAATTTCTTTGAATAAAAAGGTTAGAATCGCTTGGAAATGGCGAAGAAATGAGTGCACTATTCTGTATTATTAAAAGATGGAATGGCAAACCTGAAACGTAGTCTCTAATGTACGTGAACTCATTCATGCCGCCCTGTGTTCCATAAGCAAGCTCAGACTGAGTTCTGATGATCACGAAATCATCGTCGGAGTCGTAGATCTCCTGCAATAGCAACATACCCAATAAATGATCTCGACTGCTACCAACACTTGAGAAACAGCAAGACGGGAGAGTATGATGGATAAATAGGGGAGGGGGGGGTTTGGGGAGAGAGAGAGAGAGAGAGAGAGAGAGAATAAAAAAAAGTAAAGAAGTTGATAGAGCAGCATTAGTGTAATTTAAATATTACACGAGGATCTTCCGCTTCTTCTCCCCCTCCCCCCTCTTCCCCCCCCCCCCATTGCATCATTATGCGCTAGAACAGATTTATGAGTATTTTGGTTCTATTTGTTCTACTGTACTGTTCATTTTGATCACAGAAAGCCTTCACCACGTCCGCTTTATCATAAAGTAGCTAACTAGAGGATCGAAAACATCTAATCTATCAGCTTGCTTGATCCTCGCACACCTAATATCCTGGAAAGAAAAATGCATGATATGTTCCTGGTCTGGTTGTTATCAAGTGACGCGAGCCACTCAGCGCGCAGGACGACACTTTCAGTTTTCCGAAGCATGTTTTGTGATTCTGTGACAATTACACATCGCTTTCAGCTGCTCTCAAGCCATCGGAAAGCTGCGGTTACTGCCTCCACCTCCATTATTATACTGGATGTAGTGACGATGTACGCGAGGCTCTCTTTTTTTCAAACAGTTTCCATTCACTTTGCAATAAAACCCTACCCACTCTTCTTATCTCTCACTACAAACCCATGTTACTAGAACTGTTGGGAAACTACTAGGAGGCAATGACCACCAGCCAGTCTTTCTAACAGTGGAAAGACAGTCTGTAGGAGAGAGCCTCACTATGCAAAGATGGAATTATAAGAAGGCAGACTGAAAGTTGTGTAAGCACCGCACGAATGTTCTGCTTGAAAATCTCAGCACAGATAACGATGCAGATAATGTAGTCGAAGAGTTCGGCAAATGCATACTGCAGGCAGCCCTAGAAGCAGTACCAAGAGGTGCGCGTAAACAAAATAAACCGTATTGGAACTGTGATCTGAAGCAACTGCACAATGATATGGAAAGAGAAAGAAATCAAGCTAACACTAGACCTTTCAAAAGCAGTTCCACAAATACCAACATGCAAAGGCCAAAAAAGAAAAAAGAAAGCTAAGCTGCAGGCTAGACAGACAATCTGGCAGGAACAACAAAGACACAAGGAAGTTGTGGAGGTTAGTAAAACAAATTAATGATGAGAGTACAGGAAGAAATGCAAATATAGTACTATGCAAAGAAGGAGTCATCCTAACAAGAAAATAGGCAGCTAACCACTTTGCAGATTCTGTTGGCGAAGACAGAAACATTGATATCAGCACAGAGAAACAGCGAGAGGCTCGAGAGAATCAGTAACATACAAGACAAAATGATATAATTCCTGAGGCACTGGCTGCAGCACTTACACCTAGCGAGCTAGAGTTAGCAATTTCACAGCTGAAAATGGGGGAGTTCACCTGCTGGAATTGATGGAATAACCAACGAAATGGTCAAGAACCTTAGGAAAACAGCCAAAATAAAGCTGCTACAGATCTTTAATCATTGTTGGACCGTTGGCAAAGTTCCCCAGAATGGATAGAAGCAATCACGATACCCCTCCTTAAACCAGAAAAGGACAGTTTCGACGCCTTCAGCTATAGAACAATCAGCCTTACCAGCTGTCTCGGTAAAACAATGGAACGCATTGTCAATCTTGCTACTCCACAGAAGATCAGACAACTCACCTTTCGCAAGAAACTGAGGATGCCTTCCAGGTAAAAAGAAGTCTGGATAGATCTGAAGAAAGCCTTTGACAAGGTCTGGAAAGAAGGAATCATGAAGAAACTGAGAAACTACAAAGTCAATTAGAATATGTACAAATCTGTGAAAGCGTATTTGTACACCAGAAGAGCCAGAGTACAGACAGACTTGAGAAAGTTTTGATGCGCCATTGTGTTCCTCCAAGGAGGTGTCTTGTCCCCCACGCTCTTTCTAGTCTATATAAATGACCTAGTTTCTGAACTACCCCATGGAATTAAAGCTGCAAATGTATGCTGATGACTTGATATTATGGTGTACAAATGAATATGTGACAGTGGTCACTAGGCTGCTACAAAGAGCCATAGATGCAATTTCTGTGTGGGCTGATAAATGGTGTGTCACATCACCATAGGCAAATGTAGCACCACCCTCTTCAACCTATCTCCAAAACAAAAATCCGGCGTCATCTACATAAATGGAGTACCTATAAAAGATAATAAGGAGCCCACATACCATGGAGTCACTTTTGATGACAGTTAACATGGAGAAAACACATCAACTAAACAGCAATAAAAGCCGGAAGCAGGGTAGCCATCCTGAGAAAACTTAGTGGAACCACGTGGGATGCGAGTGGGAAAATGCTTAAGAAATTTTACCAAGAAAGTGTTTGACGCCACCTTGAATACGGATCAACAGCATGGAATTCAACATAAAAAAACCACACTACAAGAGTTAGACAAAGTGCAAAATCAAGCACTCAGAGTTACAACTGGCAGTATGAAATCAACTCCTATAGCCGTGATAGAGAAAAGAAATCGGTATGACCCAAGCACTGAGTGAAGGCAGAGCCACCAAGATACTAATACACGCAGAAGTTTCTTAGCCTACCTAGTTATTCTATAAATAAAAGATTCCAAAATCTAGCTATGAGGCGACTAAAAAGAAGCAGTTTCATCCACCAGGCCAAACGACTCCGCAGACAAACCTCTGATTCTGCCTGCAACAGATAGCCCATTAAATGCTGTTCCAGAACGAACTCCCTGGAGAGAGGAGTATAAGTTTCCAATTCACATCCAGACAGAAGTGAAAGGGGTATTTGACAAGAAATAACAAAACAATGCGCAGCGTAAAACAGCCACTCTCAGTCATTTGATGACAAATACCCACAGAATCTTTGAGTCTGTGTTTCACACAGATGGGTCAACACAAAATGCAATCAGAAACGGAGGAGTAGGAGTATACACTGGGTATCCTAATATTACCAGGGATGCAGCCAAAATACCAACAGGAAAGCACGTCACAACTACGATGCAATAGTTCAAGCCATCAAGGTAGCAGCAGAGAAACTAGTAACACCAGGTATATCTCACAACCAATATTATTTTTCAAAGATGCAAAAGAGCTACTTCAGGCACTCCAGTCTAGAAAATCACCAGGTATACTGACACTACTATCTGAACTAGTCAGTCGATGTAAGGTAGTTATGCAATGGATACCATTCCACTGTGGAGTTCCCGGAAATAAAAGAGCTGATAAACTAGCTAAGAAAAGTGCAAATGAAGAACAACCTGACGTACCAGTCTCTTATCAACAGAAGAAGAGAATAAGCAAATCAATCAGAAAACCACCGAAAGCAGCACAAGACGATAACAATAATATAGACAGATCAGAGCAAGTCATTATCCTACGCCTTAGAGCAGGCCATAATCGACTTCGTAGCCACATGTATACAATCTTTAGGATTGGTGAATCAGCCAAGTGTACCTGTGGACTGGCACCTGAGATAGCTGATCACATCCTCCAAGACTGTCCCAGATATAACGTTTCCAGACAAAACGTCTGGCCTAGAGAAACGCTGGAGGAAGCCAACTTTACGGGCCGCTAAGTGAATTACAAAAGACAGTTAAGTTCATACTAGAGACAGCATTGCAGATATAGATAATTTATTACAAGCGAACGAAAGAAGAAGAAGAAAAACTACAGAACCATCAGTATATATGAGGATGTCACCTGGGTGAATTACCATGATCAGCTCTGGCTGACTCTTATTCACTGGACTCTTTTTATCAGATGCGTTTAACTGCCAGCGGGAACCACAAGTGCCAGATACCTAGGTTTTGCCCGGAGAGGAAGAAGGCTATGGGCATCTGGAGAGAGGCATATTGACTCAGGACATCAGTAGTAATGGTGAAATGGAGGCACCAGCAGAGGGACATACAACTAAGGCCATCACACGAATGGAACCAAACAGGTGGTGGACAAACCCGCTGTGGGGCCCGGAACCCCCCAAGAGGAATAGATTTATAAGGAATTGGACCAAGGAATGAAAAAAGGAGCGCTGAGGAGGGGCAAGGGATTTAACCCGT